CAGCCGGCCTGGCGTAGTTTGATTATGTTTTAGTGGGGGTTTTGTATGGGGTATTTTTAGAGCAGGCCTGTTATTTAATTTGATTTTAGACAGAAATTTGTGTATATTTATTGTGGTTTTTATTATCGCCTGTTCACCGCCCTGAGTCCCGTAAGGGAGATAGGGCGGTATATAAATTCAATAAATAATAATAATAATATTCATTATGCTGAGATGATTTTCCTGGCAAAATTATGCTAGGTGATCACCAGCTTCATTCTGTTCACTTAGCCCAAACTTACCTACTATTCTTGCAACTTTTTCTTGGCTAACTATTACCCTGAAATTGCCCATAATATACAAAAGATCCTTTTTTGGTATTTGCTTAAGAGCACATTGAAGCTGACTGTAAAAAAAAAAAGTTCAATTTCATCATCATCATTTCAGTCTACAGTTGAAGCATAGATTTGTAGTATGGCGATGTTGAGTGCCTAAATCCAAATCCTATTTGTATAATGTGCTATATATATGCTTAAAAGAGAGCAATAATGTTTACATCTGTGCGATATACATTTTTCTATGATAAAGAGAAAGTCATTATCCATGTAACGTATCAACCTGCTGATAATAAAGATTGGATCTGAAAGATAAAAAAAAAAGAGTATATGCCTGGAATTTAAGTGTAATAGTATGCTTTTATTGCTCACATGACATGGATTTTAAGGTCAGGTAATTTAACTGATATGTACTAAATCTCTGTATGAAAGAATGTGTAAAGCTTTCTTTAACCATTTTTAAAAATTCTTAGTATCCAATATTAGCATAAAGAACGTGGAAGATAATGTGAGTAAATTAAAAGATTTCAGGCTGCAGATTATGAGAGAAGGGGCAAGGTCAATGCCCATATAAGAGAATTTTACTAAACAGCATTAATTTCTGTAACTTCTGAGGTAAATAGTAGAAGAAAAAAGAATGTGTTTTCAATCAGGTGTCTCCAAAATGATTCACTGGATTAGAAAAATAAATGAATCAGAACAAAAAAAGAAACTGTTAATTCTGATACCTAAATTAAATATAAATAAATTTATCCTCCAAACTATCATGTTGCCTCCAAAGTCATTTCATTCCACTCCCTTTATAATACTTAGATTTACCCTCTTTATGTGCATCAAGGAGGGGTGAATGTTACAATGATTTGGAAACAATATGAAAGATAACTTTTGCAACTTATGTAGTTGCAATGGTTTGTACATAGTTGCACCATATGAATTTCAGTTTTTCCCCAAATTCTATTGTGATATACAAACAAAGGGACACATTTTTAGTCAATATGAAAAATATAAATCTCTTAGCACTTACATGGTCCAAGGCAATAATTTGGGTTTACAACTATGAGTCCTATTAAAAATAGGAGGAGACTTCTCCATAAGACTTTGCCCAGCAATTGCCATTTGGAACAACCTCGTCTCAACATGGCACTGAGAGACAGTGAAACAGAAGTGCCCATAATAAATACAAACCTAAAAAGGAAAAGGAGAGAGAAAAAAAATCAGAAAAAGACATATATTATATGAGGATGAAATTAACTCCAAGAACCGAGAAACTCTAGATAAACAGACATGAATCTTGTATAGGCAATGAAAGAAGGATAATCTGAATATTAGAGAAATAGTTCAACAGTTCCTCTCTTCCCCAAATATCTACAAAGAATTCCAGAAAACTAATTATTTGTGTCAATATTACTAGAAAATGCAAAAGACTTGAGTTGTCTTTGACATTCATATTCTCAGCAGTTCTTTTGTGGGCTCCATAGTACAATCCATGTGGAGCACTTTTTTTATATGATCAACTACTCCAACATTCTGTTTTTACTCTTACCAATTTGATAAGAGCCTTCCCTGTATCTGTTACTTTCCAAATTTTCATTCAAAAGCCCTCCTTTACCCAATCTTAGATACAGCCTATTTCTTTGTAATATAAAAAATGTGGGATAGACAACATCACCACCAGATGGATTTGCAGTTGGCTGATCAACTGCACTGAGAGTGTAGTCTTCAATGAAACTATATCAATATAGAGGCATGCATGTAGTGGGGCACCTCAAGATTCTGTTTTAGGCCTAATACTTTTCACATCTTCATAAACAATTTAGATGAGAGGATAGAAGAGCAACTCATCCAATTTGCAGATGACACCAAGCTGATAGGGAATAGCCAACGCTTTAGAAGACAGACTCAGGTTCCAGAAGGAACTTGACAGACTTTAATACTGGCCCCTATCCAACAAAATGCAATTCAGTAATGAGAAAAGTAAGGTTTTTCACTTATGCAAGAAAACCCAAATGCCCAGGAATAGAATAGGTGATACCTGACTCAAGAGCAGTAAACTGCAATCTGAGAGTCCTAGTGAACAATTACTTAAGTATGAGCTAGCAGTGTGTTGCAGCCGCCAAAAAAGCAGCACAGACCTAGTCTGCTTCAACAAAAGGATAGTATCAAGATTTATAATATAGTATATACTATATATATATGTAGTATCAAGCAAGGTTTTACAGGCAGGAAAAACCAAAGGTACAAGTACAGATTAGGTGAAACCTGGTCAAAAACAGTAACTGTGAGAGGGACCTTGGAGTCCTAATGGATGATCACTTAAACATGAGCCAGCAGTGTGTGGCAGCAGCCAAAAAAGCTAATACAATCCTTGGTTGTATAAAGAGGCATAGAATCAAAATTACATGAAATATTGGTACCGCTTTATAAAGCCTTAGTAAGACCATACCTGGAATACTATATCCAGTTTTGGATACCACATTACAAAAAAGAAGTTGAGACTTTGGAAAAAATGCAAAGAGCAACTAAGAGGATTAAGGGCCTAGAGACAAAAACATATGAAGAATGGTTGCAGGAATTGGGTATGACTAGTCTAGAAAAAAGGACTAGGGGGAACATGATAGCAGTATTCCAGTTTTTGAGGAGCTGCCACAAAGAAAAGATCAACTTATTTTCCAAAGCTCTAGAAGGCAAGACAAGAAATAATGGAGGGAAACTAATCAAAGAGAGAAGCAATCTGGAATTAAGGAGAAACTTCCTAACAGTGAGAACAATTAACCAGTGGAAGAGTTTGCCTTCAGAAGTTGTGGGTGCTTCGTCACTGAAGGTTTTTAAGAAAAGACTGGACAGCCATCTATCTGAAAAGTATAGGGTATCCTGCTTGAGCAGGGGATTGGATTAGAAGACTTCCAAGGTCCCTTCCAGCTCTATTTTCATTAAGAACACATGAAGTATTAGTACTGCTTTATAATCCCTTGGTAAGATCACACTTGGAATACTGCGCCCAGTATACGAAAAAGATGTTGAGACTCTAGAAAGAGTATAGAAAAGAACAACAAAGATGATTAAGGGACTGGAGTCTAAAATATGATGAACAGTTGCACGAATTGGTATGTCTAGTCCAGGGGTAGGCAACCGTGGCTCTTTTATGACTTGTGGACTTCAACTCCCAGAATTCCTGAACCAGCATGGCTGGCTCACGAATTCTGGGAGTTGAAGTCTATGAGTCATAGAAGAGCCAAGGTTGCCTACCCCTGGTCTAGTCTAACAAAGAAAAGGAGTAAGGGTGACAAGACAGCAGCCTTCCAATATTTGAGGAACTATCAAAGAAGAGTAGATTAACCTATTATCCAAACCATCTGAAAGCAGGACGCGAAGTAACTGATGGAAATCTATCAAAGAAAGATCCAATCTAGAACTAAGGAGATGTTTCTGACAGTAAGAACAATTAATCAATGGAACAGCTTGCCTCCAGAAGTTGAGGGTATTCCATAACTGGAGGTTTTTGAGAAGAAATTGGACAGCCACTTGTCTGGAATGGTTTAAGGCCTCCTTCTTGAGCAGGAGGTTGAACTAGAACAGGGCTTTTCAACCAGTGGTACGGGTACCACCTGTGATATGTTGGTACCTGGCAGGTGGTACACAACCATCCTAGAAAAATGGTAGCGGGGGAGGGGAATGAGCTGAACCAGTGGCAGCACTGCACAAGCCTGAGCGAGAGATGGCTGGAGCTGCAGGGCTGTCAGGGCTCAGCGGAAGCGCCAAGATCAGTGCCGCTTTCCAGTTGATTGGCGTTTCTTCGGGGCTGTCAGGGCTCAGTGGAAGCACCAGGATCAGCGCCAGGCTCCAGCTGGAGCTCGGCGCTGATCCTGGTGCTTCTGCTGAGTCCAGAAGAAACGTCGATCAGCTGGAATGTTGCGGCTTCTTCAGGATCTTGTGATTTACATTCAGATGCTTGGCAACTGATTCATATTTATGATGGTAACAGTGTCCCAGGGTCATGTGAAGTGACCAAAACCTGCTGCAACCACCCAGCACCCCACCCCACCCCTGCTGCCAATCCCCAACAGAAATGCTCACGATGAAAACCTCGGACAGGAGGAAGAGCGCCACTGGGTGGACAGGCAGGTGTCTTGCTCGGCTGTGGCTTGGGGGGCACTTTTTTCAGTGCCATTGTAACTTCGAATAGTCATTAAGCGAACTGTTGTAAGTCGAGGACTACCTGTACTTTATCACTTTTTTCTTTTTGGTCATCAAGTTTTTGACACCTTGCTAGGCGACCGGTGGTACTCGGATATTGCCATATCCTAAAAGTGGTACAATGGGTGAAAAGGTTGAAAAGTCCTGAACTAGAAGACCTCCACAGTTCTTTCAACGCTATTATTTTATATTCTATATTCCTAAAGTGTGAGCATTTATAGACATTATGTTTTGCTTCTGCTCTGTGTCAGCACATGCTTAGAGGCTTTTGGATCAGAGTGCAATCACTAATGAAGTAAAAGAAAGTTACAGTTTATGGGAATAAGTGCCAATAATATAGCACTGATGTGTCCCCACTTCTTGTGGTATAACTTCTTCAGTGAAATCACATTATCGTCACTGATGAATGTTCTTTAAATCCTAAGATGGAAAAAAAGATTGAAATAGACTTCTACTGAAATACCAAATATAGCTGACTGTGAAAGAATGAATACTTACCAATCTAAGATTGCCTGAGAAAAAGTAAGAACTTAATGCAAAGGAGAGAGGGAAGCCAGCAGAAAATTATGCCAGCTCAAAGAAGCACTATCTGCATGGACTTCCAATCCCAGTCCTTTCTCAGCAATGAAACATCTGCCTATGATGGAATGCAGTTGAGCAGATAGACCACTCAGGAAACCTGAACCAGCAGAAGTGGAAAGAGCAACAAAAGACTGGGTGATGTCACATTTGCAACTAACATTTACAACAGAGATGAGATGAGGATTTCATGTATTCCTCTCCTTGAGAAACAGTCAGTGGGTCTCTCATGGTGGGGAAGTGTAGAGCAACCTTCTGTTAAATGAACTGCGTGACAGTGTTAAGATTTTTATGTTTTGGAAATGACTTTGGGAATTTTATTTAAAAATCCAACTTTTTTTAAAAATAAAGATTTGGAACTACGTGTACTTATTACCATTTTGCACTAAAACTAAAGATTAAAAAAAATCACTGGAAACAGTAACTGTTAATGATAATTAAGAATCCAAGTCAACCTGTCCTGACCAAACTGACAGTCCAATGAGAGATATTCCCATATGGATTTCTTTTGAATGGACTTAGTTTAATTCAAACTATTAGCAATCAACATGAATTACCATGGAAAGACGAGGTCTGCTATAGTTAAGCCTATAAAGAGAAACAGACAATAACAGAGAGTTAATGTTCATTACAATGGAGAACTACTAACTATTCTTAAGATACTTAAATAAAATATTTAGTTCTAAAATATTATTAACAGTTAACAAATACTCTCTGAACTTTCAAAAACACATAATACAAGGTCACCACATTGAGAAGTAGCATTCTGGAGTGAAATAAGCTAAAAAAGAAGCTGTTACAATATTTATTCTGAATCTTCTATTTCAAACTACATACAGGACCCATTCCTCCCTCCCTCTCCCTCTTTGTCCCCCCCCCTCATGGCTGCTTGCCCATCCACAACTACTGAACATTAGTTGCAACAGTGAATTTTAAAAACTCCCAAACTCCCAAAGAACAGTAAATGAGACAATTTCATTTTATATAATTAAAGTGAGAAGACAAATGGATTTTGAATATTTTACCATTCCAGCTCTGATGCTTGAAAAACCAATATTTTCCTCCACCATAATTCACAAAGACCATAATTGTAAGTGCCAGGCTATAAAGTCAAACAGAAATCATAATCACACACTGAATGCATATATTAACAATTCTGAATGCACTTTTTAAATTGTTACAATAATATATTGTTCCGCAAAAAGTCTTAAATTAGTAGATTTGATCAATACTTTTATCTTCCAAATTGTGATAATATAGAGAAAATATTGGTAAACATTACCAAATAATTTTTTATGGGGGTGAGGGTGGGATAGTAACATCAAAAGCAATCAGCAAAAATACTTAAAAAAAGATTTTATGAATGCTTTCACAAAATAGCTGACAGAAAGGCATGGTCAATCTTAAATGCTCGCCCAGCCAGTGTGATGAGAACTTTTAACAGTTTTTGGGGGCCAAAATGAAAGCTCTACTCAAAACATGTAATCGCATGAGCAGAAAGTGCCCATTTCTCTCCTGGGTTTGCATACAAATACAAGACGTTTGAAGAAACCCCGAAGCAAGAAGTTTCTCAGGTGAGTTGAGCTTGGAGGCGGGGAGGCGGGGCTTTCAAGATTTTCCCCCTTGAAAAAATGGCCATTAAAAAAAACAAAAAACAAATATGGACATTAAAAATTGCCTACATCTTAAACATTTTTAGTTACATATTTGCCTTTTGCATTAGAAAGGAGTCTTTTTTTTTGGTTTGCAGACTATCTTTTCCTTTTTGTTGCTCTTTGTCCTTGGCAAGGAGGGGGCATGACAGATATACCCAGAACTAAGGAAGCTGGGATTTACTCCTTTCTATTCCTTTTTTACATTAATTGCAAAGTGATAACTAAATTTTCTCTTCTCTTGTGTGTCCTGAATGATATTTTAAAAAAAAATTCTGCCTGCTTTTTTGTGGATGTACAAGCTGTGTTTTGTGAGTATGCAAGGCTCTCTGATATGATACAATTAGATAAGAAGAATACCTGATTTGTTTTCACTTCGTTGTATTTAAGTATTTTTTCAATATTAGGCACAAGAGGAAGCAAAAGACTAATTTTCTAAAAGAAGGTTGGTTAATTTATTTATTTATTGAATTTGAATAAATTCATTGAATTTATTAAACTCAAAAAATTAACTCTTTGCCATAAGGAGAACAGTATTGAAAAGATTGTTAAAAAGATGGTTTGCTTTGGATTTACTGGGATCACAGGGACTTGTTCAGTAGATCAAGCTAAGAATCTGAATCAGAAAGTCTACAAGGGAAGATCTATTTGCACCTGTACAACCCTGAAGAGTAACAAGTCATAGAGAAACAGACTAGCACCATGGTGACTTGCAATGCTTGTACTACATTTATATTCCTGCCCATAGAGGACTCAAATTATATGTGTACCAAGCACAAACTGATTGGATTGCTGGAGCAGAAATGGTGAGTCTAGAGGTATGTCTAATCACTCTGAGATTCCTCTGAGTAAATGAATACTTAGCAAAGGCAGACATCTGTATTCAAACTGAATACATGAAGGAAGAAACAACTACCAAGAAAAACAAAGCTCTAGGACAGACATGTCAAACTCGCAATATCATGTGACGTCGCACAACGCATCGGAACTTTTTCCTCATTGCCGGCAATGGGCGTGGTTTCGTCGTGATGCATCCAGCCCGCGGGCCGGCAGTTTGACACCCCTGCTCTAGGGGAACAGTAATGGCAGCATGTCACTCAGAGGACAAAAAAATCCTAAGAAGACTGTCCCTGCCACTGGAGCTCAACAACTTATTTGGTATCCTCTCCCTAGAAGAAAACATATAGACATCTGGAAAAGGGTCTTCATCAAATATTCCAGTGACAGGAAAAAAACTATTATCAAAAAGAAGACTAATCTGCTGAGTTTCCCCCTCCTTTCTAAAAAGGCTTGTGGTACTGACTCACTACTGCAAACCCATTCACACAGACCAGATCCTCACTTCATAAACAACCATTCCACCACACACAGTGCATCCAGACCCTCTTCAGAAGGGCCAAGACACACTGCGGCACCACAGCACAAAGAAAAGTGGAAGAGAAATGGCTGCTAGATGTCTTTCTCTGTAACAGCTATCTGAAAAACTTCATATTCTAACACACAGCATCCAACTTACATAACCAACCACTATACAAAAGCTAACCCTACCATACACAAAAGGGGTGTCGGAAATGACAACCAGAATTCTCCAACCTCTAGGAATAGCAGTAGCCCAGAAATTATTCAGAACCAAAGACAAGATACAGAAGGATGAAAGAAACAATGTAATTTACTAACCCAACTGTAACAATTGCGACCAATTCTATGTGGGACAAACTTCACTTCAATTGAAAATCAGAATCCACAAATACCAGCTGGCAATCAATTGCCACGATCCCAAATCCCTAATCTCTATATTAACACCGAACAGCACCAATTCAATTGGATCAATAAAAAAAATCATCGACCATGCTACTGCTCGCTGTGCACACAAATTTATTGAAGCCTGGCACTCCATCACCAGACACATCGACCCATAACCAGCCTACGAACCCCCCAGAATTCAAATCAACTGCACAGCCAATCAGTGATGGCAGTGACCTTCAATCAACCCATGCAAACGCCCCCAATCAGCACTTCACCTCCCAATGACCCTCACCTCATATGACTTCCCCATCACAAGATCCTCACCTAATGTGACCTTCCCATCACAAGACTTACTGACCACACAAAGCCCTTATAAGCAGAACATCGATACTGACATCCCCTAAACTCCACTGAATATGTTACCTAGCATGGTAACGAAACATTTAGAAACCAACCCACAAGCTCGGAGAATGAACCTCCACCCTCATCCTCCACCTGAGCTACAGATATTCACCACTATCGCACACTGACTCACTTCTCAGAGGAACAGAATCAGCAATCTGTAGACCAGACAACCTATAGAGGGAGGGAGGTTGTCTCTCAGATGCAAAGATCAAAGATGTGACAGAGATCCTTTTTTAAATAATCCAGCTCACCTATTATTATCTCTTTCTCCTTTTTCATGTTGGCATGAACAACGCAACAAACAGCCTGAAAAAATTATCAACGGATTGTGAGCAATTAGGCAGGAAGGCAAAAGAGTTTTGGAGCACAGGTGGTGTTTTCATCTATACTTCCAATGGAAGGGCAAAACCCAATAAAGGAATGGAGGAATTTAGAGGTAAAACCTTGGCTGAACAGATGGTGCCACTGACAAAACAGGATCATAGTATACATTATTTGCAGAAAGGACGGGCAAGAGATGGGCTGTATTTCACAAAGATTGAGAAGAATGTGTTTGTTCAACATCTGGTTCAGCTACTCTGAAGGGCTATAAACTAAATTTGGAAGGGGAAGGAAACCAATTTTTAGGACAACTAAGGGACACTCAACCAAGCAGAAGAAACTAGTGAACGTTTTGCTAATCAGTAAACTGAGGTGTGCAGGAAACACAATACTGTAGTAATTGGGGATTTTAAGTACCCTGACAACAACATAAATTTAAGAAATAAACAAATAATAGTGTCCCTTAACATGGATTTTCCAGGTATGTTAAGATACATTTCTCTGGTTGCCACCCAATGCTGCCTTGTCAATTACACCAGGTTGAGAAAGTTCACCAAAGAAACAGAAGTAATATTCTTTCATTTCCTCAAAGAAACCCAGCAGACTAGTTTACCCTCCTCCCAAGGAGGTAAGTTTAAGTCTGATGAGGGCTCAAGCAGGTATGATCACAGTTGCTCACAGTTATCAGATCAGTAATCCCATCCAGAAGAGCCTTAAGTTTGTTGTATTTTCTTTTCTAAGAGCAAGTTCAGTTGTTCAACAGAACAACCTAACAGGAAATCAGAACCTCCAAAACCAAAGTAATGATTTCTGTTACTTCAGGGACATACGAACTGAATCTGCAGATGAGTCCAGTTTCTTATCACAGTAAAGAACAGGAAGTGTCCAGATTGTACCAGTTGTATCATTCTGTTGTTACTTACGGTATCACTGAATAAGACAAGTTGGTTCCACTCTTGATAGCTGTCATTACTACTTTATGAATGTGAATACTACTGCACCTATAAATCTCAGCTGATAATATCCTCAAAGACATTTACAGAAAAATTGTAAGGAATTATCCAGAACTGTAATTTACCCTCTGAAGGTATCCAGGGAACGAAGTCTCTGCAGAGAGGAAGCAGTATTCCATATTCCTACTGGGAATTCACCAATGGAACCTGTTCTGCTTGGAGATCCAAGCTCCTGAAAAATGAAAGCGACAAGGAAAAAATAGTTATGAAAACTTAGTTATAAAATTGTTAAGTCTGATTACGGTCTTGTCTTTTCATAATATATTCTCTGTATTTTTTTTCACATGCCATGTTCTGTATTGAATTGGATATTTCTAGCATTGTTTTCCTTCAATCCTACCAGTTTCCTGTCTTTCTTAATTTTTAAAATGTTTTTATATAATATTTAAGGAGGTTATTTTTACTACATTGTACAAAATAGAATACCATTTATCAGTTTTAGTATTTATTATTCAGGTTAATGAGGGCAGATACAATATTGTTGCCATTACGGAAACTTGGTGGGATGAAACCCACAAATGGAACACACAGCTAAAGGGATTTAAATTATTTAAAAGAAACAGAACAAATAAAAGAGGAGGTGGAGTTGCTCTCTATAAGAAATAACTACATTTATTTATTTATTTATTTATTTATTAATTACATTTATATCCCGCCCTTCTCCTTGCGGATTCAGGGCGGCTAACAATTGGATAAAATACAGACATATTATACACCTATTAAAATTGATTAAAAAGAAATATTTAAACTCATCAAATTAAAAGTAAGTAAAACCCCTTTAAAATCCCTTAGGCCAGTCCCGCAAGCTGGAACAACCACGTCTTGAGGGCGCGGCGGAAGGAAGGGAGATCAGGGATCACCCTGATCTCTGGGGGCAGTTCGTTCCAGAGGGTGGGAGCTCCCACAGAGAAGGCCCTCCCCCTTGGGGTCGCCAGCCGGCACTGTCTGGCTGACGGCACCCTG